TTCAGTAAGTGAAATCTCTGTCTGGTCCTGCTTTGCATCTCGCTACCTCACTGTCACTTTCTTTCATAGTTGGCGTAAAAGCACCATTTCTTATATTCCGTCACCAAAAAACCACGGCTACGACAAAGAGATTAAGTGCAATGTCACACCTGATTGAGCGCCACTGCGATGAGGTCGCGCAGCATGAGTTGCCCAAGCTCGGGAGATTTGCCCTTCTGGCGTTATGACGATGCACATTTTTTCGAAAGCATTTCGAAAGCAAGCAACATTTGCTGCTATCTCCCGCACGGTTTGACGGAGATTCGCTTGCAATAAACGTTGTATGGTGGATCTTCACAGGAAGCGATCAACCATACGATCAGTACCTTCAAGACTGTAGTTCTTCCGGTAAAGTCAGCAGAACCACTTCGAAACCGCACTTCGTGCAGTAGCATCTGGCCCTACCACTAAGCATATGTTTCGATGGACTTCAACCTCTATCTCCTTGGAGGTACTCGTGAAGGGTACAGCCATAGGCAGCATGCTGATTTTTTGTGAGGTACTCGGTCCATGGTCTAGTTGAATATACCGTGGCGAGAGACCATAGGATGTTGTTCTTATGTACAATTTATGGGAATTTTCGGAAGCGGACAAAAAATTGCAACCCTTATCCCGTAACAAAGTAGGTGTGCCTTTTGAGCATGAGCATGGCGTAAAGGGTTTCTCGTAAGATAGTTCATTTAAAGACACATGGTACGCTCAAACACATTGAGGGTGTATGAGACTATCAGCCCCCCAGCTGTCGATGTGTCGTGGTCCCCCGCCCAAAACTGCACGGGGTCAGAGTACGGGGCCGTGGGAAAGTCGTAATTCCTTGCTACATCGCTTAACACGTTCGTGGCGGCGGCGTTTCGCCAAAAACTCTCCGTTTCTCGAGCGACGCGTTCGCGGCAGGCAACATTTAGGCAATCGTCCCGTTTATGGTTCAGCGCGCTCGCGACGGATATAACTTTGTTAAAACTCACTAGAAGTCGTTTTTTGCCATCCTTTTTACATTTTTTCCCTTCTACAGATTTTATCTGGTTTTCGGTAAATGAACTAGATTTCTTGCCCCCCTCCCCCTTTGAAGCTGGTTGGAAGCGGACAAAGATGTTGATATCTTCTTAATATCAATATTAATATTAAACGTGTTAATTCGCAAACATGTTTATGCTAACACCGTCCGCGCGGCGCGTGTCGCGTGCAGCTCTCTTGGCTTTTTGCCAAGTCCTGTAATTGCGCTTTGGAATACATATTCAATTCAATCAAAATCCGGCTCTGAAGCTATAGAAATACTTCAAACTAACGAGTGGGACGCTTAGGCCGTTTTTATTGTCATGTTCTGTGGGAATGCGCGGCCTCTGAGGGATATTGCAGAAGCACCAGTTGCTCTTGAGTTCTAGCCCTCGTCATCATCTTCGGTTCTTATTTTGCAGCACCTAAATGTCCTATGATTGTCGGTCAACAGGTAGGAGGGTTCACAAATAGAGAGAGGTACGTGCTAGTTGATATTATAATGTAGGGAAAATAAAGGAGAACAGCCTATAAAAGAAGGCCCTCTTTAGAGCGCAACGCATTACACGAGACCCACTTCATTGTACCAACTTCACGCACTTGCTACCAGATTGTGCCATAAGTTCGTGCTTGAGAGATGAGGTAGGCCTCGCTGCGTACTCAGATGAGCGTGGTACTGTACTTTTGGTGGGATACTTTCGTTTGGACACAATTGTGTCCGTGTCTCTGTCTAACACAGAACAAGATGACAGTTGTCTCAAAGACACATGGTACGCTCAAAACACTTGGTGTATGAGACTATCAGCCCCCCAGCTGTCGATGTGTCGTGGTCCCCCCGCCCAAAACTGCACGGGGTCAGAGTACGGGGCCGTGGGAAAGTCGTAATTCCTTGCTACGCCGCCCGTTTCGCAAACTCACGTTTTTACTAACACCGTCCGCGCGGCGCGGTCGCGTGCAGCTCTCTTGGCTTTTTGCCAAGTCCTGTAATTGCGCTTTGGAATACAAGTACAACGCAATTTCTTTATGCGGATAACATTTTAGGTGCTGCAAAATAAGAACCGAAGATGATGACGAGGGCTAGAACTCAAGAGCAACTGTGGTGCTTCTGCAATATCCCTCAGAGGCCGCGCATTCCCACAGAACATGACAATAAAAACGGACAACATGACAATAAAACATGACAATACAAGCAAAACGCAATTTCCTAACATTTGAGGTATTGCTCATGCTTCAAAGTCCGAATAGAAGGTGATGAAGATGACAAAGGCTAGAAATGAAGAACAACGAATGTAGATGTAAATAAAACAAAATTGAAAAACTAAGGAAACGCAATAAATTAAAATCGCGTGTGCATTTCTGCAATGCGCTCGAATGTTTTTCTTGCGATCATTAGGATGATGATTCTTTTATGAATAGGATGACGAATATAGAATACAGTAGCAACACATCTCTCAGTACTACATACAGAGGCAACAAAAACAGTGGAATCTGGGGAAAAAACTGCGCCGAACTTAAGACATGTAAAAAAGCATGAACACTCGTTTACAATCTCATAAAATTAAGAACAGCAAGGGTATGTATAGCTCAACTGCCGCAGAACCCACCTGAATACCTTCCTCGGATTTTCATTCAGACATATTGGAATTGGGTCGTTTGCCTCGGCTGGGAACCCTACTGGGCGGTATACCATTCTAGGAGGAGAATGACTCCTAAAAGTCACATAACTCTGAAACACATGGGTCTTTTGGAGAAAGAAACCGCACACTCCTCTCCGTGGGACACGGGCAAGAGAATCGTAATTTGCTGCTCAACCTCGCGCGGCGATGGACGTGGCGTTTTCTTAACACGTCTTAACTCGTAGACGCCTCATCGTGGACATTCATGACTATTTTCGGTTCTGAATTGCCTGTTGTCGCCATCTACTACCTGGAACCATCGTCATTTGCGGGCGCGACGTCGCACGCGACGCTCACCAGCGCAGAGAATTACGATCTCCTGTCATATACCCCCTCCGTGAACGTTCCTTTCCATGTAAGAGGTGAGTGGGTCCGCAACTGCAGTAGTTTACCACTTTCTCCGCTCGAAAAAAATACGAGAATAGGCTGGAGGTTAGAGTTACCCGGGTACCATCTAGAGAATGGGCTGGAGGTTATAATGTTCGCGTACCATCTCTCGACTACGCCTGCTCAAGCAAATAGCGCGTTTGGGTACGGTTAGACGTGTGACAAGAAGTGTAGAAGCGCGGGCGGAGCTCTGAGCAGTCCGGTGTCACTTCCTTCTAGCTCTGCTGCACCTGAGCGGAAAAGAGATATCACGCTGCTGCAATTGCGCCCACATTCATCTCGCACATGGCAAGGACAAGGACCCACAGAGGTGAGTGTGGTGTCTGTCTTCGAAAGCTGTACCAAATTTGTATACTATGGAAAAAAAGAACTGTAATCTGTCTTCCCGTTACTTACGTTTTTCTGTTCGCCTTTTCATGGGGTTGCTCTGGAGTTCTCCCCGTCTTCAAGGTGGCATAAGTGAATTTGATGTCAGTTTCTCGTTTCGCTGAGCATTCTTCTGCAACAGATTACTCTGAAGCCGAAATCATTTCAGTCTGTCATTGGAAATACCTGTGTTAATGGTACCTGTCCATGAAGTCATGATGGAAGTCTCCTGATCGGCCGTTGGCTGAAACAGGACACCACAAGAATCACTTCAACACCAAGATCATGCGTTGCCTGACATTTTCTTCATTTCTATTTAAGAAGCCACGTAAACTCCTCAATTAACCATAACACCTTCATAAGCAAGGAGCAGGACGGGACATGTCGTGCAGATAAATAAGAAGAAAATTCAAAAAGAAGGGTCGGAAATTCCGCAGAAAGTGGCCTTTGGTGTGGATGCACCTGTTTGTGTGGTTTGCGCTGCGATTTATATCTTGCATCTATATTATTACTATACCAGTCGGATCGCCCGGCTAACGCCGAGCTCTCCTCCTTGGAAGCCCGGCTTCGCCGGGCTCATGCAACTGCTTTAGAGCCTCACTTCTTAAC